TAGTAAGATAATTCGCAATCAAATTTGTTATTTTTTATTTCTTCGTGCTTTAACTTTTATGAATTTTGTAATTGTTATTTTTATAGACTTTCACTAATTCTGTTTGGATTGCTATACTTGGTGTATTAATTGTTGCATCGATCTTATTGATTTTTCTTAAAATATGTAATGGAACTGATCGTAAAATAGGATATTTATTCATTGATAATTTTCTGGAGATTTGGGGTATATTGTGTCAACAGGGACTGGCAGGTTTGATTCAATATTTCTTGATTTGCATTTCATTTCTATTTTTTGATAGTTGTATTTACACAAAGTATAACTTTGCTATAGATTTTCCTGGAAGATCTTCGTTAAGAATAGCATATTTTTCTATATTTCTTTTGGTTACTGTCTTATTAGCCGCCTATTCAGCGGCTTTGATAAGCTTTTTAACAACCACTATTCGCGTCTTACCCTTTCATTCATTAGAGAGCTTGGTTCAAGACGGTACTTACAAACTTGCCGTTGTTCGTGGTACGGCTTATTATGATAAGTTTGCAGTGAGTATAATACGTTATGCTACATGCATATTTACGTTTGTGTGTGTGTGTAAAACAATAAGTATAGGGTGGAAAGATGAAGAAAAATATTTATTTGTAGAATTCGGAAGATCCGCTCGCAAAGAAATTGATGAAGCTGATGTTAGAAGACAAAGAGTTGCCTCTTACTGAACAGGAAGGATATAAAAGAGTATGATGAAATATTATAAAATAAAAAATCAATAATATTTATATATACAGGATGTAGTGAAATTACGCGCCAAAACTTCGAGAATGAATTCTTCATATTTAATTTCATGAATAATTCGTATAGAATTGCTTGATTCTTACGTAATATGACTTTTATATGAAGAACTATTCCTAAAGATTTGTCACTTATTTTCTATTCTACTATAAATTATATTAATTTTATTATAGATATACGTTATTTATTTATAGATTTGTAAAAATCGGAAACTGGCTTTCTACACGGTTGATCAAGGTGCTGTAGCAAATCTGAAAATACCATGCAATGTGGTTCATATTGCTACAGGACATGTAAACAATATTGCAATGATTTTATCTAAGCACAATCCTTTCACCGATCTCATCAATTTTAAGTAAGAATCCAAAAATCTAATAATTGATTTTTGTAACAGTTGCTTTTTTTAATAGTTGCTTTTTTTAATAGTTGATTTTTATTTATCATACACTAAAACAATAGCTCATTCTAGATTACAGAAATACATTTACAATGGTATGATGAGTCGTTTAAGAGAGAAAACATTTAAAAAGAAGTTCAATAATATAATTAAGCATCAACCTGTTCCTCTAATCAGCGTCATGTCACTTCTTATTTTCATTCTCATTGGTATCATTTTGAGTACTTGTATTTTGATAGTAGAAAAGCTTATTTCTGCTGGTAAAAGGAGGAAAATGTCAATGGTACATCATATTCCATCAATTAAATCGCCAGGATTTTATGCAAAAAGGAAGAAAAGGTTAAGAAATATTGGAAAATATTACGCAAATCGTAAATGTGCACGCGAAAATTATTAATGAAAATGCCAATGTTCTTTCTCAACTATTATTATTTTCTAATGGAATAAAAACACGCGTACACATATTTTATCTTTTGCATTATTTACTAAAGTTTTAAATTGAAATAAAATTTTTTCTTTATTTATCAAATGTATATAAATATATGTTATAAATACACATGTTTTAACTCTTTTGAACTGTTTCGATTTTGCCTATTTGTACAAAGTATGATTTCGTATGTATTTCGTATTCAAAAAAGAAAGTTTTATTTACGATGTTTTAAGAATAATGATTCAGCGATATATCTGAATTAATCTTTCTTTTCTTCTTCAATAATCATATTATTATGTTTGAAACGAATCAATTTGATAGGAACAACATGTCAAATTTTCCAATCATACCAATCAATCGTAAGGTATATACATTATTATATACAATATATTCATATATGTATCTATATATCATAAAATAAAATTGTATTATAAACATTATATATATATAATATCTCGGATCTATTGTGTGAGGTGATAAACGAAAATATGTTTCTCTGTGAACAAAGGAATAAGTCTTTATTTGTTGATTAATAATTATTTGCTATTTACTATTTGCTGTCTTACCTGTGAACAAAGAAACGACAATTCACCTTTATTATTCACACTACTTAAATTTTATTTAATGTATTATCTTTTATAAAATTTTTTTTTAACTCTCGTGCTACTTCTCTCGTCTAAGTTCTATTTCTTACTGCCCGTTTCTCTTCTAAATCTTAACGGCTCAATTTGTAGATAACAAAAGACAATGGAAGGGTGGGACATGAGAAGCGCGGCAAATCTACCTGAAGAAAGTATACTTTCTTTACATATATAATAATATATAACATATATAATATGTTATATAATACTTATATATACATACATATATATGAGGATCGTTTAAAAAGTAATATCAGTTTTGAAATTACGATAATACAAATATATTTTAAAAAGTTTTCTTTGTTTGTAACATAACTTTATTTATAAATATATATTTAGTTATTTTTCTGTATCTTCGTTTTACCTATTTAAATTCTTTAACGTGGGATAAGTTTTTTCTATATCTTTGTCATAAACTTCCGCTGTAATCTTATTTAACCATTGTTGAACAATGCGCTATCCTGTAAATAGTTATTTTTTTCTCTGTAATTTTCGAATGATTCATTTTGAAGATTTTCTCAAAAATTATGTGCACAAATGTGAATGACTTAGCATTTATACTCGTCCGAACATGTTTCTTTTACTTAAAATGTTCAGATAAGAATTTTCAAAGTCAGCGGATTACAAGAGATTATATACTTATCAGTTGTGAAGCTCAATAATATCGAAAGACGAACGTTTTCACCATTTGAAAAGCGTATGATATGAAGCAATATCAATTGTTTAAACGTAAAATTTACCATATAATACTACAATTCTTCCACTGTCCATATCGAATGTTATGGTTGCCTCTTCGATTCTTATGAAGGCCTCGTATGGTTTTTTCTGTGCTTCCAGTTGATTTGTGTATGGGTAATTAATCGATTGACAACTACAACTAGTATTAGATTTCTTTCGGATAATTCCATAAAAATAATAATTTACTTCCTTATCGAAATCCAAATATTTTGTACCTGATAACCCTGTTTGGTCTGGCTTATTCGTCAATCCTAATACAAACATTTGTTTTTCAATGCCGTTTTTAACAAATTACACAAATTATAATAGATGCATAATTTATATAATGCTGATACAAAACTTTATATGGATTTCCGTTCTACTACTTTCCGCAGATGAACATTGTAATTTTCTATCATTTTTAATAGTATAGGTGCGCAAAAATTCTTTTATTTAGACGAATCAGCTGGAGCTAATTCGTCTTATTTAATAACGTTAAATTAAATTGGTCTTAGATATCAAAATTTTTGAGATGTTGAGGTAGGATAAGATACAAATAAAATCGGGAAATATCGTATTATAGTTAAGCATTCTGTATTATTTGGTGTAACCACAATATGGCTCAGTGGAAAATAAATTTGTATAGATGAACATTTTTTTTAATCTTATTTCTTGCAAAAAAGTTTAAAGTTAACGGTTAGGGATCTAATAAAATGTACATTATATAAAATGAATTGATAAAGTTTTCTAACTGATAAAGTTTAAGAATCGCTGATTTATGTTAACACAACAATAAAACTAAGTGACCTTCTATAAGAATATTCCATTACTATAAATAGCTTCGATAATTAAACAGTTATAAGGTATAAAACATCACTTATACAAACTTGATTAAACGTGTGATGGTCGAAATTCATTTCATTAAGTGCTTACTTAGATTATATCGATCAGTATATCTATTAAATTATTTCAATGGAAATTAATTTAAAAATTTTCTTTAACACTTAACTATCGTATGTGGAAAAATATAAACGTATAACTTTTATATGTGAATAACAAGCGTAATAATCGAAGTGACAATAATTTTCTCATTAGTTTAGGAATTTAGTATTCTGCAAGCTGCTTTTGTAGTCGCATAGAAATTTTCTCATTTTCTTTAGAAAATAGATGCCGATTCGTTCAATTTGAAAAATAACACTATAATCAATCGATCGACACACGAAAAAAAGACGTTCGTTATGCCATTAAAAATATTTGTTCTTTTTCTCATTCTTTTTCTTCTGAAAGTTACAAGATCGTACGAATTTTTTTCTATTAGCGATAAATATATTCCTTTTACCATAGACATTCACAAATTATATGATCAAAAATCTGCAATTTTCTTATATCCCGAATCGGAAAAAATAATAAGTACTATTTATTTTCTTTTCCTCATTTCTAATACATTAATTTCTTTTTTTCATCAGAGATGGAAATGACAGCGATGACGTACAAGGTAGGTTCAAAGAAGGTATTGCAATATCGAGTTTACGCCATACACAATTGCACGAATTAATCTACTGCGTAAGGCGAATAATATTATATCGTGATTATCTTTGATTACAACACTACTAAGGAACTCCCTTTAGTAACAAGTACTTTTGATATGTCTTCAGCCAGCTGGGTAATAATATTCATGTTAAAAGAACATGATTCCGATTATTGTCACATTCCACCAAATAATATATTTCATTTAAAATTCAATTCTGAAATGTTGATCCGTTGCGGTACGGGAAATATTTTACGAGAGTGGTATTCGATCAATACAAGTCGTATCGATAATAATGGTATCGCTACGTAGAGTTTAAAGAAAGGAATCAATAAAATGATTCCAGATTTTCTTTACAAAAGAAAATATAATTTAAAGGGATTGATCATGAGAGCTGTTATAGTTAAAGTAAAATATTTTTCTCTGAATATTTTTTCTATTTTCTGTTTAAAAAGATTTGTCTTTATCTTTTTCTTTCTTTTTGCTTTTTCTTCTTTAGGATTTACCATTCACAACTATGAATAAGAATAGCAAATTAAATGGTATATACGGTAGGATATTAAGAGAATTTTGTGTCACTCTTAATTTTAATTTCAACATTGTTTCGAAAGTTAAAGAGTATGGAAGATGGAATCCAGAAAAAAAGACTTGGTCTGGTATAATTGCAGAATTATATTTAAACGTGCTGAAATTGCTCTTTGAAGTTTTTCTATTACCAGTGTCAGATTGAATGTTCTTGATTTCACGCTTCCTATCTTGATACGCATTCGGTAATACTTATTGTTCTTTATTCTGTTTTTTATTTCGTTGTTTACTTCACTCATGCTGCACTTCTATCTCATATCTCAGCCCCTTCTCTTCCTTCCATAAATAATCGTACCTCACAAAGAACGGATCATGCTTTGTTCGACTGTCGGTCAATTTGTCTCATACACGAACACACACATAACTAAGTAGCACTAAACTTTCCAATCCACGTGTATATATGAGCCGTTTATTTTGAAAGTGGTCTAACTCCATTTGTCAATTTTTTCCGGTTGCCATAATTACATGTACAACTTTATGTTATTTATCAGTAAAGCATTTCGAATTGCTTATATTCTGAGCAAATACGATAATTCTTGACATATAAGTTTTCAGAGTTAGTTCAATAATTGAACCGTGTAGTTTGAAAGTGACCTAACTCCATTTATACTTAAATAAAAATTATAAAATAATAATTAATTAATAATTTTTATTATTATTAATTTTATATTTAATATTAAATTTTAGAAATTATTTTACCCATGGAGAAGAACAGAACAAGACCATTTAGTTCAGATAGTGAAGAAGAAATAGTAACTAATGATTTAAAAAAAAATCGAAAAAGAAACAGAATTATAGAACAATATTCGTCTTAAAAAGAAAAAAGAACACATTATAGAAAGACACATTATAGCTTACAGTGACATGTGCGCCGGGCAAAATAGAAACATTAAAGTAGCTTTAATGTGGTTAAAAATTATCCAAATTTTGGAAAATAATGTGGAAATTATAGATCACAAATTTTTAATATCAGGACATTCGTTTTTACCAAATGATAGAGATTTTGGCGTGGTAGAAATGTCATTAAAAAAAATAATTAACTGTTCGTTCCTCAAGATTATTACAAGATTATTAAAAAGTGTCGGAAAGGTAATAACTTTATTGTAAATGAAATGAGACAAGAAGATTTTGTATTAACAAAATTATTAGAAGACGCAATTTTTAAAAGGGTAAAGAATTCTGATGGAGAATCAATAAACTGATTAAAAATATGTTGAATGCGTTTTGTCAGAAATAAACCGTATAAAATTTTCTATAAGACATCATTGAATGAAAATGAAGTCCTGAATTTATTATCACGTCGGGGTAGACCAAGAAAGTTCGAAAATATTGTGACACCACTATATAAAAATATTAGACAAATTACAACAGCAAAATTCAAGGACATAATTGTCCTATTACGATATATACCACCGGAACATTATGATTTCTTCAAATTCCTTTCACACACACAAAATCTAGATGAGTAGTAAATTGTATTGTTATAAATTTATGTTTGTAATTTTGTACGTTATGTAGTTAAAAAATGTTTTGAATCGCATAAATTATGTTTTCGAAATGTTTTAAAGATATGTAAAATAAATTGAGTATTGTTCTTTTCAATTTGAAGCATCTTAAATTATGTTGAATGGACTTGGGCACCTTCAAATTTTATAATGGATCTGATTGTTAATTTTGAAAGTGGCTTAACTCCATTCTTGATAAGAAAACGCACATTATTCACTTAATAATTGCCACTATTTTAATAGGAACTATAAATTTAACACCCTTAGATACACTTAAGTAGTATGACTCATTAGTATCCTATACGTATATTTTTAAAATCATTGAAACGCAAACCCTTAAATATCTTGATTTGAAGATAAATGGACTTAGGGCACTTTCAAAATAAACGTCTCATATATATATAGATGCTAGAAGAGGATAAATTGCTCTTAACTATAATGGCAGGATATATGAATGTACGATGAAGTAATATAAAAAAAAATTAAATATCATTTACATATACAAGGTGTAACGAAATTACTTGAAACAACTTCAGAAGTGGATTCCTTAAATGTAGAGGAGAAAAATGTAGTTCTATCATCTTGATTTCGGTGCTGCGTAGTTAATTTGCTACTACGAAAGCAGGTTTGTTTGCGTTTCGCGCACCGCCAACGATGATAGTCGATTCGCATAGAAGATCTGTCTCCGTCTTTTCCTAGTTGTCAGAGTCGAAAACCTATTGGTCATATTGAATAAGGACGGCGGCAAAAGGTTCGGAAATTATTGAAAATCATCAGCAAAATATTACTTGCCGCGTTCTTGCAAATTAAGGGGAAAACAAGATATATTTGGATGATTCCGCAGATTTAGTGAGATAGACGCACATTAAAGAATACTCTGCGAATTGAAATTATAACAATGTATTTCGAAGAAATAAGGTACAGTTGTGATATGCTTGTTTCTTAAGATGTAGTTATTTATGCTATTCCGGAAATAGCTATTTCGGAATGAAGAATAGTGATGTTGGAAAGACTCGGTTGCCTTACTGGTGAGTGCAAATGCTTATTGTCAACTAACTTTTGATTTCTCTCGAACTATCCGCGAAAGATAGTACAAGTGTGTTAGGACAGTTCATTCGAAATGTTTAAATAATCTCATGTATGGTCCTTTGTCTCAGTGATCATATGAACTCATGAATGTTGTATTTAAATGAGTAGGCGCCAGCGAATCCATGGCTCGTTTTGTTTAGGAGTCTACTTTCACTGTTTATTTATTGTACGGTTTGATACATTATTGCAGATTACGTGCTTGACTAAAGAAGCTTTTTTTATTTGTTTTCTTAGCGGGTATCCAACGATTTTCCAAGGACAGATATCCTCGATAATGATAGATGGCTCTTAAGAGAAAGTACTGTGAATTGTTGAAGGTTCGCACGTATGCATCAATATTCGGAAATATCTAATTTTTTAGTATAAGGTCTTTAAGTATGACCTTAATGTAATCCAATTATGTTAATTTACTGGAATTATGATTCCTTTTCACATTTTCTTACATATGATTTATAAGGACATTCGAAATATTCACTTTCTGCTAGAAAATAGACCTCAATTAGTACATAGTTATGTATTATATATAATTTCCAAAATGTACATAGTTATGATTGTAAGTATTTGCAAGTGATAAAAGCATTCAGTGCAACAAAAAGTGTTTAACTAGTTTCTCAGATTTCATTTCAACAAATAAAGTAAACATTATTTGATTGCACTAATGGTAAGATTAATCCTATAATTCAGAAATTAAGCATCTACGAAACCATGCTGATAGAATATATTTTTTCTTCTCTACAAATGAGGAATTAATTTTTGAAGTTTAGCCGCTTAGTTTTCTTAAATTTATTATATAGTTTAATTATTAAAATCTGTTATTAAATTACAGATTTATAAAAATCGAAATCTAGCAATCTATGCATTCGACGACATGAAAATGTCAGTAGATCATAAAATACCGTCCAATGTGATCTGTGTTGAGACAGGACATGTAAAAAATATGGCTATAATTTTATCTCAGCATAATCCATTTACCGATGTCATCAATTTTCTATATAAAAACACAAGAATCTAATAATGTAAATGTTTATTTATTGTATGTTAAAATATTATCTCGTTCGAGATTGCAGAAAATTTTCGAGAATGGTATGATAAATCGTCTTTTAAATTTATCATTTAAAAAGAAATCTAATAATATGACCAAGCACCAACCGGTTATCCTAATCAGCGTAGTTGTAGCTTCTTATTTTCATTCAAATTGGTATCATTTTAAATACTTGTATTCTGATTATAGAAAAGCTTATTTTTGAATATATCGATAGTACATCATTGCACAAAATAATACGAATGGTAAATGTACATGCATAAAATATTGACGACAACGTCAATATTTGCTTTCAACGAAATTTTTGATTATAACTTTCTAATGTATTAGAAACATGCGTACACATAAGCTTTTGCATTATTTAATACAGTTTTAAATTTAAATAGTATTTTGTCATATTATACGCGTAGACATATGTTTAATACATTTTCATTATTTATCAAATGCAAATACATATAATTTAATTCTTTCGAATTGTTTTAATTTTTCGTACTTGTATGAAGTATAATATATTATGTATTTCATAGTCAAAAAAAAACATTCGCCATTTTTTATTTATTAGTCGTGATTCAGTAATATAATCGAACTATATTCTCTCTTTTTTTTCAATGTATTATACATACTTTTTTATTTAGAGCAAGTTAATTTGATTATATCTGGGTGTCAAATATCTTATAATATGAATCATAATGCATGATCACGCGTGAATACTATTATATATATATATATATATATATATATATATATATATATATGTAATAACACATTGATATACTACGTGTCTAGCATATATAGTGTCTGTAGATGAAATAAATCTTTTAACCATGGGACAATAAATTTTTGATTATTTCTGTAATGGATTATTGAATGATATATTAATTGTAATCAATAATCGATTAATTATTATTAAGTTAAATCATTAATCCTAATTACTTTTATAATTTGTAATCATATATAATGATTAATTTATATTTCATTATATACTGATATCGCTTTAATTGTTCAGTACTTTATGATTTAATAGAATTGAAATTATTATTGACTAATATGTGTATGTAGTATAAAAATATTATTGTGTGTGATATAAAAATATTAAAATATTAATATTTTTTGTGTGAATAACAATAGTATTGATATATGTATATTAGGTGGACCGGTAATGTCGCTTTCTTAAATTAAATTCAAACGAATAAATTTTTAACAATTTTTAACAATTTTTAACAATTTTTAACAATTAAATATCGACATGCGCAGAAACGACATTACTTTCCGGTCTACCTAATATATCCTTTGTGATAGAAAAAAGTTTTCATTATATACAATACGGTGCTGCCAACTTCAGCTTTTATCAAGATATTATTGTCATGTGCAATAATAATAAATAAATGTACCAAAAGTATATAAATTATCGAATAAAATGTTTGAAATGATAGTTACAAGTCAATTATTTCTTGCTTATACGTTTATATAGACGTAGCTGTATGTTTGATATCAAAGTAAATAATTGTTAAAGTTTTTGTTTTAAAACTATGTAAATAGTACATAGATATTTTTCATCAAATATTTACGGTATTGTTCTTATAAATAAATTACTAAATCAATTGTAATTGAAAGTGATATCATTACATGATTGAAGATTATTTGATGATTAAATTAATCATGATCTTTGATTACATGATTTTAACTACTTCTCTTATTTTAAATTAGGTTCAAAATTAACGAAATTTCTGAATTGATAGTAATTTACGATTTCATATATACATATAGATTGTTACGAGCCATATATACGTATAGATTGTTACGAGCTACATATATGTATAGATTGTGGAGTTCGCAATTCTGTATGTCTAGAAGGCTGTTTCTAGGCACGCAGAAACTTTAACACGTAACAACGGATTACCATCTGTTTTCTAAGGAAATTCAGTCTGAGTAACTTGCGAACGTTCCGAAATATCTGAATATTTTATTAAGAGAGTTTAGCTATTAAGTTGTTAATTGTAAATAAATTGTCCTTGTTTTGTTTATTAAAGTTCTTTTTCGTCTACACGTGCTCGTAGTTGCTCGTAACAATGTATATATTTATGTATTTATTATAATAATTATAAACAAACATATATATATATGTATATATTAATAAGTTATTTATACTAGAATCTTAGTTTTGATTGAACTATACTCGGAACAAAACTTGAAAAATTGATATCGATTGTGATAAAATTGTTTTACATAATGTAACCGGATTACTATGGAGTAAAAAGCTGTTAATATTCAATGAAAATCTCCATCTTTCATAATCAATTTTTATTATTTTGATTTCCTTCTTATTCCCAAGTAACAAAATATATTATATCATTAATCATTATAAAATTTATTAACAAATTTATCGTTATGTAATTATGAGAATTAAATTTAGGAAGAAAAATTTTTTGTTGGTAATCTGTAAACTCTGTATAATTTTTCCGATTTTTCTTGATGCCAACTGAAGATATATAAATCGACTGGAGCACTTGCTTATCGATATTAAAACCTAACTAATAACAACCTCTACAGTGCATGCAATAGTACTATAATTATAAATTTTATTAATTGTATTGTTTTCATTGTTAAACTTAAATTTCTTGTTAAATAATGAATTATCAAAGTTCTTATTGCCTTTAAATGTTAAACATTTTCTCTACATTTTTTTAGACTCTTCATTGTCTATTGGACATGATTCTAGGACTGGTCGAATGGATTAACATTATGCTATAATTTGCTTTAAAAGGAAATACGAAAATATTTCTTTTGGGAGATGAATTGATGAGTTGAATTTATCCAGACTCAACTCTTTCTGTTGGATTGCGTGCACTTTCTTTTTAAAAAATTATCTTTATGATTACCATACAAATTGATATTTCATTTACGATTATGCTTAATTTATATAGGCTATAATAAAATATCAAAATTTGTAAAAACGCAATAATAACTAATTGATTTGCATGAGAATATATTAATCAATAAATATGTATAGCATTTCATGGAATTTATATCTGCCGGATATATTTATATAAAATTTTATATATAAAAATATATATATATTTTTACTCTTGAATGGGGGGAGACCAGGCCGGACTCCAGAGGAAGACGAATCATGAAGGTGGCGTCGAGACTAGAGCTATCAGTACTCAACACAGGTTCGACGTCGACCTTCCGCAGGCCTGGCTACAGAGAGACGATCCCGGACGTATCTCTAGCCAACGAACATCTTGTGGCAAGAGTCGCAGGCTGACAGGTGATCGGGGATTATACCGGGAGCGATCATCAATACATTTTATTCGATGTACACGATAGGAGGCCAGCCGCGACAAGGGTAGAGCGACCCCCCCGGTGGAACATTGCAAGAATAGATCGAGAGAGGCTGTCTTCAGTCATAGATGAAGATTGGAGATCCCTTCAAATTGCCTCCGCGAGTCTATCGCCAATTGCACAAGCCAGGATGATTACTGCAGCAACTATGCAGCTCATCCAAAAGGCTTGCGCCATAGCGGTGCCCAAGAAGTGCACGAAACGGCACAGGCGTCCTGCATACTGGTGGACGGACGAGATCGCAGATCTTCGCAAGAAGTAAGACTTAAGACTTCGCCGTTTAGCACAACGAGCGAAGAGACGCGATCTCGACGCTGCTCCCTTGGGCGCAGAGTATCAAGCGGCCAAAAAAGCTTTGAAGAGGACCAACAAGGCCAGTCAACGGCGGTGCTGGAAGGAGCTAAGCCTGGATGTCGATCAGAATCCGTGGGGATTAGGGTATCAGATCGTCACTCGCAAACTGGGGACTAACACGCAAGGAATCCCTCAGGATGCGAGGACGTTGGAAAACATCATTCATACCCTATTCCCCTCACATCCGAAGAGAGAGATTCGCACGGCGACGTCTGGTAGCCCTGAAGGGCCGCAATTTACAGAGGAGGTGCTACTCAAGGCCGCATCTTCTATGCGGAACAAGAAAGCTCCAGAACCAGACGGCCTTCCAGCGGAAGTAATGAAAGCCGTCGCGCAGAGTCATCCCAAGCTCTTGCTAAACATGTACAACATGTGTCTCAGGGAGGGCATCTTCCCCGCCCAGTGGAAGAAAGCCAAACTTGTGCCCATAAGCAAGGGCAAGGGTTCAGCAGATGCCGCTTCGTCATACAGGCCTATTTGTATGCTCAATACAGCTGGCAAGCTCCTGGAGAAGCTGCTTAGGCCACGGCTGCACGCAGCCTTAAGGGCAGCTGGGGATTTTGCTGCCCGCCAGTATGGATTCCGATCCGGCCTCTCCACCATCCAGGCAGTCCAGGAGGTCGTCACGGCCGCTAAAATGACGGAGCGTGGGAACCATCTAACTCGCCCTTTGTGTCTGCTGGCCACCTTAGACGTGAGAAATGCCTTCAACTCCGTCAGGTGGGACTTGACAATGGAAGCGCTCGAACGTAATTTCAGCGTCCCCGAGTACCTACTCCGAAGACTCGGGAACTATCTGAACGAGTGCTTCCTAGAATACAGTACTGGCGATGGTCCAAGAAGCTTGGAGTTAACATCAGGGGCAGCCCAGGGCTCCATACTGGGACCGGATATCTGGAATATTTTCTACGACGATATCCTACGTATGGCAGTCCCTGAAGGCGATTTCTTGGTTGGGTACGCAGATGACCTTGCAGTTGTCATAACCGCAAGAGACACGGAGGGGGCACAGCTGTTGCTCAACCAGGTCATGCGCAGAGTCATCTCCTGGATGGAAGACCACGGGCTATCTCTGGCAGCCCAGAAGACAGAGATCGTGCTACTTACGAAGAAGCGCATCTACACCTTGCGCAACTTCATAGGAGACACGGCGGTCCAGGCTAAGTCGGCTGTCAAATATCTGGATATAATGCTCGACAAAAACCTTAATTATGGCGAGCACATACTCAGGGCAGCCGACAAGGCGGCAAAAGTAGTAGCCTCGCTTGGCACACTCATGGCAAACGTCAACGGGCCCCGTCCGTGCAGGAGGCGACTACTGATGTGTGCCGCCGAAGCAGTGATGCTGTACGGCGCTGAAGTCTGGGCCAAGGCGCTGCAAAAGGAGAAATATCGCAAGCGCATCGCCGCCGTACAGAGGAGGGGTGCTCTCCGAATCGCGTGCTCCTACCGCACGGTCCCTGAGCCCGCGGTGCTAGTGATCGCGGGGGTAATCCCGATCGATCTACTAGCCCAGGAGAGACAATTCGTCCACCAGCAAAGGTGTGTTCTAGGAAAGGAGGGGGCATTAAGGCTCACCAGGTCTACCAGCATCGAGACCTGGCAAAGCAGATGGGAACAGGAGCATCGGGGCAGATGGATGGCCCGACTCATCAGTCGGCTAGACAGCTGGCTAAACAGAGAGGTGGGGGAGGTCGACTTCTACCTCACTCAATTTTTGACAAGGCATGGTCTGTTCTGCTCCTACCTCGCAAAAATGAGGAAGGTAGCTGACGGCAACTGACCCTATGGCGACTCGACCGTCGACGACGCTCACCACACATTCTTCAAATGTGTTAGGTGGAGCGTCGAACGACTCGCCTTGGAGCAAGATCTCGGAAAAATCTCGCCAAACAACATTGTCGAGAAAATGCTCCGAGGTCAGGAGGAGTGTGCCGGTACGTCAGGACCACCTTGTGCAGAAAAAAGATGGAGATGGGTGGCACATAGACCTGCCCCAAACGTTGCTCCAAGCTCCTGCCCCGTAGAGCCGAAGGGAGAAGTAGTAATATTTGAAATAGTACAGAATGGAAATTTCCCGTGCAAAAAAAAAACAAAGAAAAGAAAGGATTTCTATCTTATATGTAGTGTGGAAAAGAACTTATATTTTAATTGACATTAAAATAATATTATATTTTGGACAGAACATTAGACAAAATTTTATTTTTTGTCGCAAATTTATGTACTAGTTATACGCGTCAATTATATTTATTATTTTTATTATTATTATTTGGCATGAAACATGTGTACCGACATCGTATGTAGCACAGAACACTTCAAGATCCATGTTACCATCAAAAATTTATATCTATATGAAAATCCACTGAGTATGAACTCACAGCTAACTAATCCTATTTATGTTAACCTACTCGAAGCCGATTGTAAAATGCGCGAGAAAGAGGTATAAAAAAAACATATACATCGATACCACAAATGGCATGGTGGGGACAGTCATCATCTTGTACCATTGATTGGGATCGTTTTACACTTGTAATTTATATTTTGTCCATACCAGTCGCTCAAATCACAAACCTTTCCAGCGAAAGGTGGTGTGTAGTTTTTAGGTTAGTATTTTTTTAATATTTAAAAATGTTCGTGATGTGTTTTCTAATAAAATCATTAATTAATGTAGTAAATGCTTCCTACATGTCATATTGTGTTTTATTTGTGTCATTCATTTGCTAACCCTTCTAATAGGTTTTTCCTTTAGAAACCAAAATTAGCACATGAAAAATTTATTAAGATATTCGTTGATAAATACTAAAAATTAACCTCTAAACATGAGTTTAATCGAAAACTTTTAACGTATCAAAAACTTAAGCGATTTAAATTATTTTGACAGTAAAGCATAATAACTTGGAGAAGTTAATGCTAAAGTATCAGAAGCATTATTTTTTATGCTTCTGATTTTATCATGTTATTGATCTAATGGATTGTGTTTAATAGTACTACTTACTGTTAATAGTTATTCTTATTAAGTATTATTTCTAAAGCACAAATTGTCTTTCAGGTGGACATTTAGTATGATGGTTTCTTGTTATGAAGGAGCATTACAAGAGAATGAATTATATTCATCATTGACAGAGTATCAGAATAATGTCCAGAAGACGCCATTATTAAAATCTTGGAACATGAGAATAATTCTAGAAAGAAAGATAATGGATCTGAATTACAATCGTACAGGGAATTGAGAAAATGTTTTGAAAGGAGTATCATATTAATTGGTAATATATTAGCGTTCATAGATAGTTTATTAGCAAGCAAGATAAAATTTAATAAATGTCTATGAAAAAGATAATCCTGTGGTATTATTTTTATAAATTTCAAAATTTTTCTTTTATTCCATACAAGAAAATATCAAGTGAGAACAATGCTAAGTAAAATATTTCTAAAGAAAATATATTTCTTTATTTTCAAATTATGCTAATGTATGACTATTATGTCCAATGTTTCAGAATTGTCCAACCGTCGATGATCAGAAATCTATTAGATCAATGAAGTACACAAAAATAAGTCGATCCAAAAATGTATTACTATGCTGCTGTTTATCTCATTTACTTTTACAGATGGATTTGTTTTCTATTTAAGTTTCCAAGACTGCTCACATTTTTGGAAAAGAGTGAAAGTAGCCCGCTGCACTTTTATTAATAGAACTATGTTCGAATTAGTTTTCAAAGATGGAACATTGACTGGAAAAGTAAGAAATATTATTTTGTTTCTTCCAATTTGTTTAATAAGTAATAAAATAGGTTAAGAAGTTATTTAAACTAGCTAATATTATAAAATATTTGTCTTTAAATTTAATTTCATTAAAAGATAAAACTTCTTTTATCTTTTAGGAAGCAAATGAACATAATAAAGGAATACTTCATTGTGCAGTAGATTAGACTGGCATTTGAATGTTATGTCCCATGAGAATCTTTTTTCATTTCGATTCTGATTTATATTCTTCCTGGTAATAACTAGATCCTCACAAAGATTGTCGTTCCCATAAGATCGTGCCTCAATACCATCCAAAACTCTATGACTACCGGATTTTCATTGAATAAGAAATCGTTATTCGTATGAGAATAGGGAAGAAAAATATCTAAGGATTCAGGAATATCGTTCGATGATACGTATCCGCTGGTTTCTAATTAGTCGATGGTTTTTCGTCCATACGTCATATTGGAAAATTCATTATACATGCAATGATTTAGAAAAGCAAGAGAACTATTCAAAAGATCATCAGAATCATTCGAAGAACATTTATCATTCTTATGAATATGAGTGCAATAAATATGTAGAGATGAAAACAGAGTAAATTTATCTATCGAATCTGATAGCCTAATAACAATTGTAGAGGAGGAGAAAAGCAGTTTATTACAAATGGTACTTAAGGAAAATTGCAGTTGAAGGTTTTGTGGAAACTAGTGGTAAGAAAGCTTGTTTGTTAATGGTCATGGATTTTTGTTCCAGCAATCATACTTTTTGGTCATATTATGGATAAATTTCGTTAGAAGGAAATTATTTAGATCTGCTAATTGAATGGGAAAAAAAGATTAAATTTGAGATGTAGACCACGTTCTTGTATTAATCTTGCTATGGCAGTTTATCTTCAAATGGACTTTTGTCTATTGAATGATTCACTTTTAGCGGTAAATGCTCTGGCAAGTATGTATCGTTGAACAGTGCATATGTGGGTATCTGTAAAACAAGATAATGATCTTAGAGATCCATCAGTTACAGTTTTCAAGTTGTGCCGATGAAGTTATTTCAATGTATGATGGCTCTTTCTGGACCAAAACTGATTTTAATACTGTTAAGGTTTCTGGTGTTTACTTCATCAAGTTTATAATTCAAAAAAACAAAGAATCCGCATACAAAAGGATGATCGAAAATTCAACGGATTGATATAGATAACTATAGTAGGAAGCCTAGGCATCACCTTCTTCGAGATTTTTGTATGGTAATAAGTTAAACAATTGCAAAGAAAAAATGAATTGATTTATTGTAATGTTAAGGTGTAAATTTTCTCATTAGCTGGTTGTTTATCATATTAACAAGATAACAAAATTTTATTAACAAGAACGTCGATTACTAGTCTCTGATCACGTAACTCAACGTTGTAAGGTCTGATTAATGCATTAAACGTAGAGAAAATTTGCATCAACGAATTCGACAATTATTAAGAAATCTTCATTCTTTTGGCTCTTATCTTTATATTGGATTTATGGGCTTTCAGTATTTATATCAAATTAATCTTTTTTGTTTACAATACAATTATAATCGTATTCTTCCTCTTCTTGAAAGACACTGTAGTCAGTAATCAGAATTACAGTTAGTGGATCAGTGATCAGGCAAATTACTATACTCGTGCACATAATTACGAGAGATATGAAATAGACGGTCAGGGAGGAAAATCTGATTTCGAACTTCAACAAAAAAATTCTCAAATATAATCATTTACAGAAAAAACCAATGTTATATAGTGATCCGGAATTCAATTGATCAAATTGAAAAAGATTGACCAAAGTATGACCTTGTCGAATTTAAATGCATCAGGTTGAATTATGGAACGTTGGATCCATACATTTTGAAGAATATAATATTCACGATCATTTCAGTAGAGAAGATTGCTACCTATATTGGTCCAGAAAATCTACTTTGATTATTTTTCAATTATCTATTGTGGAAAGGAAACTATAAAAGAAGTCTGGTAGGAATATTAAGTTGAAAATTTATAATTTTTTTTAAGGTCATCTTTTCCAACGTATGATAAAACTCATCTTTCTGTTACATATATTGATATATATTTGTGGAGTATATATATACACATACAAGAAACAATTTTTCATGTAATCAAAAGAAAATAAAGGAAGAACGAAAAGATAAAAAAGTTATGCGTTGCATCAAACGAAAGAAAATAATTATTAAAATGATATGAATATACTGGAAGAAATGTTTTTTCATCATTTAATAAATCTACTCCAATGTGACAATTTTTAAAACATTATTTTTCCAATTGTTTACACTCTTGAATTCTTTTCTATGCAAATATTTAAAATTCAGAATATATGTCACCTAATCAATTTTAGAAGTCGAATAATACTGTCAAATTACACCTGTTGCATTGCGAAATGTTAGACATAACACAAAACAAAAACTTTATTACTGCATGCAGAAAAACGATTTGAACATTTTAAACATTTAATAAAATAGAAGTTATTTTCAACCAAATGTTTTAAAACGCGTTTCTTCGGAAACTATTGACTCAAAATGAAAAAACCATTGTAAGACAGTTAAAATACCTTCCATATATGTGATTCGACCCTTTTTGCCATTTAAGATGTTTGAGGTTATCAACTGGTTAGGGAATTAACCCAAAGTAGGTGAATTTATTTAAGATATTAGATTTATTTAAGTCATTAGATTTCGTAATAAAATTGATGAATGTTTTTTGTTTGGACACTGTATATGTATGTATGTATGTTACATAGAGTAATCGATATCTTTCCATTTTTATCATTTTGTTTTTATTCTTGTATTCGTGACCTTGTATTTGATCTATTTCTGTTATTAAAAATATTTTATCGAAATAAATATTGATGAGCATCCACGTAAATATATTCGCAATCAAATTCAATTCGATGAATTACGAATATATGAATATATGAATATACGATGAATATATAAATATTTGAATATTATGAATATCATGAATATTATGAATATATGAATTTTCTTTGATATGTATTAATTTTTTTAAATACAATATTTAAAATATTCTTTATGTTTCCTATATTATAGGGAATTTCATCATCTACGATGTCAGATAATATTTTTTCTACAGTTTTTTTTAATTTTTTATTCAACACTTTCTAGCTCGAAATTGAGGTCCTTGTAAAGAGGATCATCAAATCAATCACAAGTAACCTTTTGAATTGTATTATTGCACTATTAGAGTTTTCTCAGGACATCATAAACGAGTATTTTGGTCAAGAGTTTCGAGAAATATATTTTAATAGATTTTTTAAAAATTTAAGTTGCAAATACTAATAACTCTGTCAAAACATCAGATACCTTAGTGTTGGTCAATGATTAAACAATTATCCGAATACTCCGATATAAATTTTGTAGTTGTTCGATAAACCATTTTCGTGATAAACCTGCAATCGAATAGACAAGATTAATTTTTTTAATTAAAAATTTTCCTTAAAGATTCACAGTTCGAGGATACTGAATGGCATTCGTTTGATACTTTTGTGAAATTTGTCCAAAAACAACAAAATATTTCTTAGTGTAGATATTCGAATGTTAAAGGAATACGACATTATTATTATAGAGGTAATTATTAATTTTGCAGATCTATATAGGTGATTATTATTAAATTTTCCTAACGATATTGAAGAAAACGCAGGGTTGCATCATTCTAATAATATGAATGATTAGTAATTCTCACTTTACATAAAATACCAATTAATGCGAGTTTGATCAAAAGAACAAAACGGTATAACTACTAGTTATAAAAAAAATTCAACGAAAACTGATGACGTTAATTGCGTATATTTATCATGTAAGAAGCATAGAAAGGACCGTTCAATATGGATGAAAACAATAGAAATATTATATAAAATTAGAAATTGACCAAAATAATAAGAAGTAAATAATTTGCATACATAGAGTATCAAATGTTACATTTTGTCAGCAGTTCGATAGATGATAAAGTACATGTTCTGACTATACTATGTAATAGTAGTGCTTTCCATTGGAGTAACGAAAAGGTTAATACATATTAAAAAGAGTACAGAAAGGAAAAGCTATAAAACTGCATTATTTAATCTATAAATATACTAATTTATAAAAATTTAGTGATAAAATAAATTCAAATATTTTATCGATTGATTATTAATTATATTAAATTTGTAATGATCCTGGCGAATGGTTATTTTTCTTGTACAGTTTGTAAATATTAATTTTTGCCGAAAATTATCTTCTTCGTATAAAATTCATTATATTTAATTTTAACTTTAATAAATATTTAAATCGTTATGAACATACGTACACAACCATTATCATTACTACGCGTAACTACATCGGAGACTATTACATAGTTTACATGCTGAGATAGAAGTATATTATTAATCCCGGTTCTAAACTGATAGCCGTCTGCATAACAGAGATACTTGATCGTTCTTGATTAATTCAAGACTGCCTAGTATTGTGCAAATTTGTTAGCAATCTTCTATAATATGTTAACAGAATATTTTAATATTATCTACTAATGTGTTGTAAACTATCTGCTTTTAAGTGACTGCAGGTTAAGATAATCATTGATATGGTAGAATAATGACTATATTTCGGAAATAAAGACATATCAAATCCATTAGTGAAATAATACTCATAGGTTCTTAAACAAACTATATATTAATGTATAGAACGAACGAAGAAAAATTTATGTCATAATCGACTGCTAGCACATTTTTTGCAGATAAGTGCTACTGCAAAATTTTTTGTTGCTGCTGCAAAGCACTTCCTACGAGAAATGAATAAGAATTATCTGACGTAAGCTCTGATCACAAATGTAAAGTCCGTACTCCATAGACTTTAAATAACCTTCGTTTCAAAATTTTTGTTACATTCCTTATTGAAAGATGCTATATGCTTGATATTCAATTAAATTCGATGAATAAAAAAAATTGTAAACTGGCTAAATATATTGATTGATAATACTACTAAATTTCATACTATTTGAAATATTTAATTTTTTACTTATAATTCGCGTTTTGTTTCTTTCTTCAGCTTAATGGATATAGCTATGTAAAAGATATTTAAAATATGGTTACAACAAAACAATTTTTTTTAACACTTCAATCGGAAAAAAAATTTTAGAAATATTTATCCTACTTGGTTATCCAAGTAATGTTACACGCAAATTATATTACACGCAATGTATATTTAAGACAAATATTTTTTTTAAACTGCCTTATTTCTTTTTAACAATATGACATTTTTATATTTTGTTTTATATATAAATATATATATTATATTGTGTTCCTAAAGATAATCAATGAAAAAATGGAATCTATGTTGAGAAGTAAAATTAATCGGGAATTGAGCAAAAAAAAATTCAAGTAAAAATAATTATCTACACATGTTTATTACATGACTTTATTTTTTATTTTTTTTGATTTATTAAAACTTTAATTATCTTAATAAAACTTAATTTATTAAAATTTGTTAAATTTATTACGATTAATATTAGATCATATATACTTGTTTATTTATCAAGAAAGCAAGCTCTCTCCTGGACTTTTTATATAAATCATCCCATGAAAGAGGAATATTTGAAGCAAGATATTCGAAATGAAATCAATACGATAGCTATAGCTATAAGTCGCATTTATTATTTAGTTGCAATAAAAGTTTGTTTGTTGAATGAAATTGATGATGAGTGTCTATTTTATTTCAGGGAAGTGAAATTTCAACTACGGTCATTAATTTTGTACTTTTAATGCTTGCTAAATTCAAATGGCTGATATTCAAGTATGTATATATTACATTTTCTGAATTATTTATCTTCATTTATACAAAAAAAATTATTTTCGTATTAGCTTCTTTTCATGTTTTTCATATCTTTGATCACAGGACAAAGTATATGAGAAATTAAATCAAATTTATGGCTTTAGCGATCCAAGACATGTTCCATTAACATATGATATTAAAAATATCAACCTTTTGAAACGCATGATCAAGGAAACGTTACGTCTTTTTCCCGCAGATTCCGCCATCGCTCGAAAAATAACACAAAGTATGAAGGGATACATATATAAAATCAACATATGAAATAATACTTTATATTTTTTATCCTTAATATTATATAGAAATAATATTTATTTATTAATTATATTAAGAGACAGAAAGTTGGACTATATCGAAAGGTAATTCAGCGTTATTTTTCATTTATAAATTCCATAGAAGCGAAAAATATTGGCCATAGCCATTAGTATTTGATCTCGATAGGTTCCTACCGGGGAAGAATAGTTCCACATATTTCTTTCCATTTAGTTATGGTCGAAGAAATTGCGTAGGTAATTACATACTCTTACAAATTATTGAAATTATATTCCATAAAGTTATTAAACGAAATGCGTTTACAATTGATTTTATTTTTTTAGGTCAAAATTTCACTATGCTTGAGATGATAATGATCATTGCTACGCTGATAAGAAGATTTCTAATTAAAATAGATAATTCTATAGGAATTGTAGAAATAGGTTTAAAGATGAGCATCACATTAAAACTGGATTGGACCAATAAGATTAAAATTTGAATGCAGAAATTAATTAAAACATTTAATATATATATATACATATATATATATATATATATATATATATATTATTTAAATATTATAAATATTTTAGTTAGTTATTATAAAATAAGAACACGAATTTATTAAAAATTATTGAAGTAATGTTGATAAATCTTGCCTTGATATATTTGAGATTGTTTACGATTACAATTTCGTGTATCATACAAGCCACATTAATTGATAATTCTTACCAAGGTTTAGAATTTTATTGAATAGAGCTAGAAGAAAGAATAAAAATAAAAACTGAATAAAGTGCTCAAATATAAAAAATATAGGATACAAGTTTACCTGAAATATCGCCAATAAACAAATAAGCATTTTCAATAATTGGATCTGCTTGTAGACCCGGGATTCCTTATATCGTATTATACATGTGTAATATATTTAAATAGTATCCTATTATTCCATAGAACAATCCAAATATAATTGTTGTAATAATAATTAATATTGTGAATTCCAAGATGAATTGAATAAATTTAAATGAATAGAAATAATTAAGATAAAAACAGTCTAATGATTGTGGTAATAAGTTTTGTGGTTTACAGACACTCTGTTTGTACAATACAATTCCTACGATCTTCTTGTCTCTATAGAAACTATACAAAAACCGTCCACTTATTATTTCATATAATTTGATATAATGAATAAATAATTAATAAAACTCTTGTAGATCAACTTATTATTGCTAATTTTGAAGTTCTAATAAATTAGTATTTTAATAGATTCTCATTCTCTTTCTGTCTCTCTCTCTCATTTTCTCTTTCACTTTCTCTCCCTCTCTCTCATTCTCTCTCTCTCTCTCAGTCTCTCTCTCTCTCTCTCACTGTCTCTCTCTCTCTCTCTCTCTCTCTCTCTCTCTCTCAAATCAAAATACTCAGCTGACATGTGAAGTTTTATCATACGATGAAACTAGATAAGATAACTAATGTATCTTGTTTAAAAAATCCCATCTACAAATAATAATGATTATTATATATCAATATTCATATCGATAAAATACTTTTAGTAAGAAATAAGGTAATTATATAAGGTAATTAAATATATATATTAGTAAGAAATAAGGTAATTATATATAAGGTTATTATATATATATATATAAGGTAATTATATACATGGTTCAACCAGAGAGATATTATTCAACGCACGGGACGAGCAAGCATTCAGGTCAAGAGTGAATTCACAAATTTCAGATTGGGTAATACTTATCGGGGGCCTCTGTCTTATAAACACCATTCCCATCACTCCTTCGATATTAACAAATTTAAAAATTTTTTCTAATTCCTTCATATATATTCAGACATACATACTCACACACGCAAATATATATATATATATATATATATATATATACATATATATACATATGTATATATTTATATTTCGATAGGCATATATAATTGACAGATATATTATGAAAATTTTAATTGAAGTTAATATTCATATTTTCTGTTGTCATTGCTGCGGTAATATAAACTGGTAAAACTATTGTTAACGTTAGATACGGCATCAATAAAAAACTTTGTATTTTTATACATGTCGGTAGATATTTTGGCATATACTAATTGTAATAAATCTGACGAAAAGTTCTGGTAATAGCTGGTATCTCATAGTAAAATTGACTTGGAGTTGCAGACAAATTATATTGAAAATTGCTCGAATTCAGAAGGGTTAGACGTATCTATCGATGGGCGGTCATACGTCGAAATTATCGAAGATACTGGTCGCCATGAAAAATGGCAACTCAAGGATTGGAATTTCTTGGTTGTTTCCATGAAAATTAATTTTTTATTTTGCCATTTTCCTGAAAACTCTTGGGATAAAGCAATGTCTGTGATGGATTCTGAAGAACTCGTGAGAAAAATGCGCGATGAAAGGCAATTTGTGAATTTAAATTTGTAACGATATATCTAAGGTATTGAGATACGAAGATTTCGGTATTTACGTTTCGTTATTGTGTATCGTTAAATTAGAACGACTACCGATTATGTAGAAATGGACCCTAAATCATATCATAAAATATTTTTTTTTATTAACTTCATTTATATTTTTTTTATTTATTTTGAAAGTAAGATAAATTTTTTTGAGATATACTATTTCTTTAAGAGTATGAGGAGTAAGATATTGCTATTTTCGAACAATAAACATTTATTCTCAATAAGTTTACACTATTTTGAATTATTATCGAATCATTCCTTGAGGTCAAAAACGTCTCTCTCTTTCTTTCTCTCTATCTTTCATTCCTTACACACCATCTAACTTTTATTGATACAGACAGTATTGATACGCGCATACGCATGCAGGCACGCAACATTTCTTAACCCTTTCGCTACTACAGGTCACTATAGTGGGCTTCCATAAGATGCCACTGAGATACTACGAGCTCTATAAGATGCTACTGATGGCATCTACGGCGTCGAGTAGCGTACAGTGATGTCGCGATGCTCCGTTCAGCGGAAGTACCGCGACGGAGAATCCGCCCGTACTGAAAGGTTTAATACGATAGACCGAGTCAGATTCCTTTTAACAAAAATGGAACTTTTGCAAATTTATTATAATAGCAGCCGATTTTTCTTCTAAACTTTATTCATCTACTTTTTTTTGGATATGATCCACAACGATCTCAAGTGGTCAATTTCTGAAACTGTGGCCAGAATATTTATTTCTTTACTTAATTAGGTTTTTTCTAGCAATTTTATTGATACGACTTATAAGACAAAAAAAAATGAATGGATCTTAGAATAGGAGGACCGTTACTGTAATAATACGAATATTTTTGTGATATAGTCTAGACGAATGCAAATTCATTGAGTAACGTATCATTCAATGTACTTAGGTATGGACGCTGTAAGTGGAGAGGATACGGAAATGGCTACTTATTTCAGAAAATATTGATATAACGAGAAAATGTTTTTACATCATAAAAATATTATTAACTACAAAATGTCACGTAAACATTTAATTGCTAAAAAAACATGAATAAATATACAATTAAAATTGAATTCGTCCAAAAATGAGAATAAATATCTGTAAATATAATGGGAAAGTAGAATAATTATTTTATTAAGGATAAATGCTACTTTTTCGTTGTTGGTAGAAGTTGTTCTAACGTTTGCCAGCGATTAACGAGATAATATCAAATTATTGAACGATTTCAATATTAGTTAGTAATACTTTTAAACTGATTGTCGATAAATTCTAAAGTAGTTATCATCCAAGAAAATTTCACCGACCACTTCAGAAACATAATCTCATTGGATAACATTAACTTACTCAATATTGTTCAAATTAGTTAACTTACTCAATGTTGTTCGAATTAGAGAATGTCTTTATCCATTGAACATTTATTTTATAAAATCGTATGAAATAATGAGATGCTTTTGCAGTTTTTGTACAATTCTTATTTTATACGGTTAATAATTTATATTTGGTACAGATTAACTACAGTTATCCACAGGATTCGTTATGTTTATATATTAATTATCTATATATTATATTTATATAAATTAACAATTAGACGTCTCGCCGGCTTTAACGTAACATTCATTTTTATCAGAATTTCTTCTATTGCTACTGGCCGTATTTTAATGATAAATCCTTTTAACAAAATAGCCATTATTATCTTCATTTCTAGCATTGCAAATTTTTTATCTAAGAATGTAAAATCAATAGTAAATGCATTTTCTAGAATTTATGGAATACAATTTGAATATTATATAAAAACAAACGTAAGGAATAAATATAGCCACAAGATTGAATGTTAGTCCACGTGCAGAGATTAGGCGAGCATCTTACGCCGGACGTAGATCGTTAGCCCATGCTCTAAAAAACATACATGTGATTAGTAAAAAGCGACAATGCCAGAGTGAAAAACCGAAAAAATGATTATCTATATAGAACACTAGGCATGATAATAGGGAGTAGAACATGTATATAATGTATAACTAACGAGTGAATTTTATTCTTCTTAATATTGTTAAATACGATGAAAAGGCATTATTTGTATAGTTTCTATTTAATTGTTATAACATGTCTTTCATTAAATAGCTAAAGAAAAGATTAGTTTAACAAAATGGTCATTTTAGCATTTAAAAAATCTCATCTTCTATTTATTCTTTATTTTCTAAAGGCTCTTTAGAGGGATCGTTTAGAAAGAATCTCGTGAATAAATAAAATATTCCTGCAAGAATTTACACAACTCCATATAAATCTAATACTTTAATTGATAATCATGAATAATATTAACAAATTCCTGCTAAATATATGAGAGAGAGAGAGAGAGAGAGAGAGAGAGGATGATATAAAATAGAATAAGAGAAAAGGAAGAATATGTATATAGGATTAGAATGTCAAAATTTACATCATATAGTTTTTTCATGATCTTCCGTTGTGTATGACGCAACTAATACATATGCAGCCTCAGCCGAATCAGATAAAAAAGAATGGTTTTTGCTTGCATACTTGATAAGTTATGCATTCTCTCTCTCTCTCTCTCTCTCTCTCACACTCTCTCTCACACTCTCTCTCATTCCCTCTCTCTCTTTCTTTTTTCTCTAAAATAGAAAGAGGCCGCCGGGGTAAAGAGGGAAATAATCAATCCAAGCTTATATAGACCCAACGTAGAGATAGCGTTTCTCGCTTGTTTTGTAGTCTATATTTTGTCCTATCACTGAAATCATACACGTTACGAGCGAAATGTAATGAACGGCCCTAATTGTTTGATGGATAAGACTATTTAAGACTGAATCAAGAAACTGAAATTTATGAATTCATGCTTCACTCGACCACTTTCCCGCCGCGTGCGTTGAATAATACCACTCGATTCGTCTGGTTGAACGGCCTATGAATAATTACCTTATTCCATACTAGAAGTATTTTATCATTATATTTTATAATTTATAGATGGGAATTTTTTAACAAAATAGATTAGTTACCTTGTCTAGTTTTATCGCATAAATAAT